GCTAAATCAAAACACTGGTGACTAGAAGTTCTTCATCAACATTTCAAATGTTATTATTAATTTCTAAGAAATTGTGTAAAATTATTGTACAACTTGTAAATAAAATCACTATTTTAACTGTTTTAATATCAAGATCCTTTAGAACTCCAAATCTTGCCTTTAATTTACTAAAAGCATTTTCTATACAACTCGATGACTTGAATAAAATTGATTAAAATCTTTGTATCTTTAAGAATTTGGATCTTTGAAAGAAGAAATTAAAAAAGGAGAAATAGAATATGTAGAATCACCTAAAAGGTAATCATCTTCTTGAATAAGGTTAAAATAGTTTTTATAAAAAGAAGAATTTCTATATATTTGAGCATCATAAACAGAACTAGACTAATTTATATCAAAACTAATAAAAATTCTTCTGTAATTTATAATACCTTGACAATGAATAGCATACTATTTCTTTTAAGTAAAATAAACTTCTGAATCATTACTTGGTACATTTTTCATAAGGATATGTGTTTTATCAATACCCAATTATATTTTTTAATCCTCCTAAATTTTCAAAACCTTTATGAACTTTTCTACACTTCTCTAAAGTAGGCCATTTAAGAAAATATTTTTGTGTTAAAATTGCTTGAATAATTCATTTAGTGTAAAGAATTACTGTTCCTTTTCCTAATCCAAATCTTGAACAAACTCCAAATAAACTTTCAGTAGAACTAAGTCTATAAAAAAATACAGCTAACTGAAGTTCAATATAAACTTGAGGTTTTGTTCCTTGTAATAAAAACATAAGAAAAATGTATCAGATTAGATAATTGTAAAAATTATGTAGAAATATTCTTAAGATTTTTTAGAATCTATTAGAATCATATAATGGAAGAACTTCTAGTCACCAGTGTTTTGATTTAGCTACATTATATACACTACCTGGAAATAAGTTTGCGCGGTCAGTTTTTCAGAATTTATTCAAAATCGTATATAATAAAAATCAATATATTTTGGCACTAATCGAAAGTCCTGCTTCTAGTTTACATGTCTATTTTTTATTGTTGCACACAAAATAAAAAAATAATTTAAAATCACAAATAAACATTGCGGTTCTAAAAATTGATCTGACAAT